TACAGTGCTGAAAAGGTATCTAGGATTGCTTTTGTTTTCCTCGATTAGAGAGGAGTAGTAGGCAGCTCGAGTGTGACGTAGAGCCTTCTATGACTATCCTGCCAGAAGATTCTACCGTTTTGGTCGAGCGCCATATTCTTTCAAAATTTTGCGACGATTGTTTTAGAGGACGGGTTTCTGAGTTGAACCATGGAGCTAGTCTCTGCCGTTTGATAACCTTCTGTTTTAGGGCAGCAATCGAATCAAGAGTAACTGTCAGCGAATCCACTGCACTATCAACAAGATCTTGCTGAGAGGGACTAAAGCTATCATAAGAGTTTTCAACTGGGTTGAAACACGGTACTGAATCAAAAGCAGCTGAAATAGCTTCAGCACTATCAGATAAACTTCTAGAGAGCACATTTTTATTAAGCAGAGATAATTCTGGTAGGACAAAGTTGAAAGTAATAAGGAAATGGTCTGATAGAGGAGGATTTTCGAGGAAAACTGTAAGGTTTTGGATTTCAATGGCATAAGCTAAAACAAGATCCAGGGTATGGTTAAAACGATGAGTAGGTTTGTTTACACCCTTGGTGAAATCAATAGAGTCTAATAATGACATGAAAGCTGGGCTAAGGCTATTATTATCAGCATTCATGTGGATATTGAAGTCACTTACAACAATTATTCTATCACTGCTATGGACTGAATCTGAAAGAAATTCTGCAAATTCAGATAGAAATTCTATTCATACTCTCAAGTTCCTGACCGGCTGTAAATGATGGCGATGGAGAAACAGAAGTCTTGGCCGGAAGTCCTTTATAGTAAACTGCTTATACCTGACGCCCTTAAAAGTTTGTTGCTCTTAGAGAATAAATGTAGCTAGCTGATGGTTCAGAGATTGGTATAAACTGAGATACCATATCTTTTAAACACCTTATTCAGGTTTCTTATCATCATTAGCTGTTTTGACAGCATTATTATGGACTGCCTTCGATTGGCTTCAAAAGAGCATGTCAGAAACCAGTGGGTGATGTCACTGACACCACGTCCATGTTTTATACCGTCTGAGGTCAACAAATAGTCAGATGAATGAATTAACAACTGTATGTAAAGAATAAACAATATCGGAGATGGTTTTGTCGACTTGAAGTATTTTATTTTTTTGACAACATTGCCAAGTCACAAGAATTAAATAAAAAAATATTTTTTACATTCTTTTTTTTTGTTGAACTTTTAGTCATAATAAAAACATACTATAAACAGGTGAATATGAAAAGCAAAATATTTACTGAAGGTATAGACACCATCATCTTCACCATCTTCATCTCCAGTGTAGGACTATGAGATGGACAGCAAGCTGAGGATGAGGGAGGGTTTGGGGGGGGGGGGGGGTTAAAGGGGCAGGAGGGTGACGGCAGTGGAGTCTACGAGGACGATGGTGGAGGTGTTGTTGATTCCGACTTCCCACTTTCACTGTTCTCACTAAGTTGTCTCTTAAGAACCATTTCCCTGGCGAAGCAGGTCACCTGACCGTTGGCCACTGTGTAGGTGCTGTTCCTGCCATACAAAAAAAGAACGTTAGTTAAACCAAAGATGGATTCAATTATTTGAAATGCCACGGTCAAATATTAAGACCCTCACCCTTGATTTTCAGATCCATTCTGCATGCCGGGCTGGCCCGGTTTTGCAAAGAAAAAAGAACTCAACCAGTTTCCAGAATCTCGTCTGGTAAGTCCTGGAATGAACAAAATGTATTTTAGAAGGGAGCTCAACTTTGGAAATGGGAGGATTTTCAAAATAAAACCTTGACTTTTTTTCTTTTTTTTTTACCTGGGTGGTGTGGAATGATCTCTCCTGTGTACTCTGCGCTGCCGCAGGAGCTGTTGCTGGAGGCGGAGCTAAGACGCCCTGGAAAAAATAAAACAACTTTCTTTTAGTGAACACTCAAGATTATCTTATAAAAATACAAAACAGGGTTGAAAATAATAAACCCATGTACATCATTGACTGACTCACTTCTATAGTAATCATGGGTGGCAATGAGGGAGCCACTTGATGGAATTGCTGCCATTTTCTCCGACCTTAGAAGAAAACCGCTCAAAGATGGAAAAACGAAACCTGAGAAAGAGACAGAAGGAAGGTACAATTAGTCTGGAAATATAATAATACAATTGCGGCCTTGTGTTTTTACCATCATTGGGCTGCAATGCTTCAGCCAGTGTAAGTACAAAGCTACTTATGTAGACGCACATCTGTAAACATGTCACTCATGGCTGAGTTCAGGGAAGCTTTTGCTGTGTGCCTCCCTGCCCTCTGTGTCTCTCCATTCCTGCAGGCTCTAACTGCTGAATGATAAATCAAGAGGCAGCTGCTTCCAAGAATCTGGTTTCCTATGACTCAAATAGCAATAAAGAACATACTAGAACTTTAATTTAAAGACTCTCTTTCCAAAGTTTTCATTGGCAAAAAAACCCAATGTAAAATATATAAGAATAAATCTTTATCAGTTTTTCATGTATCTGAGACTCTTAAAAGTAGAACATCGGTCTGCAGCTTGAGAACCAGTTGAAGGCTGGAGAGCTTAACACCAGGTGAGCAGCAGATGGCTTTAGGGATTTCAAGGAGCAGACAAATAAGCGTCTAGATGAACAAAGTGCAGTCGCAAAAGAATGGTTCGAGGTCAACTTTAGAAATTAGGTAGGCTATGCTAACTGTATGCTTCTATACCTTAGTGCATAAGAAACTGCAGAGAAATGTAGTGAAAACAAGTAAAAAAACAATGTGTTTTACTTAGCCTATAGACAAAATACAGATGTGGATATCAGTTGACTTGATGCATAAAATACCTTTGTATTTGAACTAATTGCCAAGTCAGTTATAGTATAAAATCTGTCTTCAAGTGAATGATATTTGGTAGGTCAAATTTACCCGATAAAACATTTAAATACTTCTTAAATTAAAGTATAAATTGAAGAAGTTAGACCTACCGTGAAGATTAGGATGTTAACACCGTTTCCGGTTGTAAGGTGCGGATGGCTGGAAGTAGAAGAGGTGCTGATTGTTACAAGTGTCCCATTTGTGGAAGATCTCTGTGTGCTGACCCTCTCGGTCAATGTTCTGCTGCTGGTACTGAGTCAGTAGAGCGGCCGGGCTTATATAGTCTGTCCTCGGCGCATGCTGCTGTGACAGGGGGCGGGGCCTGTTGCAGCTCAAACTATTTGAGCATGTGTGAGATTTTAAAGCAGCAGGTGTACTGCTTTATTTCATGTAGTGCAGATTTCAAGGAAGGATGTCTAACAAACCCTGCAGCTCCATCACGTCTGACTTGTTACTGACTCGTTATTTCTTCTAAGACATGAGCTAACTTTGGCTGCTGATTGTGCTTAATCTCATATGTTTGTAGAACCAATAACATTAATTAAATATATGTGATTTAGTTATATTGTTTTATGAAAAACATCTTGTTGTTTTTATTGTACCTTTCCAAAAGCTGTCGACCCACATTCAAGCTCAGGTGAGGCCTTATGTTAACAGTATTGTCCAACCTGTTTCTAATCATATCAAAGCTATAAAGAGATCAGGTTTGTTTGGTAAGTGGGACGCATGTGTTCCCTCGCACAGTAATGAAACAGCTTCTTTTCTTTGTGGATCACCTGAAGAGAGCCGACACTAGCACTAAAGATTTGAGACCAAAGATTTTGTTTTCATGCTCCCGTACATCATTTTCAAGTTTCTGGATCTCTAGCTAAGCCTTCAACTTCTTTTTTAAAAACCTGGATACTTGACCTTAATTACAAGATACAGTACTTGGAAACTGTACCTGTAAACACTCTCTATATTCTGTACAAAAAACTGTTTAAAAGAAACTTGATAAGGTAGTTACAGTTGTCAGTATTCTTGGCACAGCAGAGTAGTAGCTGTCCAGGTTTCTCAAAACCAGGATAAAGGCCAGGATAGAGTGCGCACATACACAAATCTTCATCTTAACCCTGCACTCACATGCACACTAAGATCCTGGTTCAGATCAGGTTTTCTTGATTTTCCCTGGATATTTGTTTTACTGTAAATATTGATTCATGGTAGGGTTGTCACAGATGTTTGTATTGCAATGTTCTGGTTTCTGTATTATGAATAGGGCTGTCAAATGATTAACATTTATTTTTAATCACGGTTAATCCCTAAATTTCAATAGTTTATTGCAATAAACACATTTTTAAATGCATGTTTGAAATTCTATTAATTTAAAATTAAAAAATACAAACTGTTTCCCACCGCTGTGACTACAGGGAGGCACTGGGAGGTTTATCCACGGTGCGCCCAAAGGAACAAAATAGCATGTGATCAATCCCAATTTTAAAAAAATGCATGAATTTAAGACCTTACTTCATTGGGATTAACTAGTTATCATCCTCGAGAGTTTCAGCATGCATTGGCTGGATGAAGGAAAAAAGTCTGTGTGGAGAGTTTTGGGTAATAACGGCAGTCACCTAACACCTATTCACTTTTAACAAATGTCTAGAAATAGTCATTTAAATACAAGCCCATGCTGCTAATAGTCCACTCTTAGATGTTATTTCTCAAAACCAACTGGGTTTTTGGGTTCTATTCATACTCTCAAGTTCCTGACCGGCTGTAAATGATGGCGATGGAGAAACAGAAGTCTTGGCAGGAAGTCCTTTATAGTAAACTGCTTCTACCTGACGCCCTTAAAAGTTTATTGATCCTAGAGAATAAAATGTAGCCAGCTGATTGGTTCAGAGATTGGTATAAACTGAGATACCATATCTTTTAAACACCTTATTCAGGTTTCTTATCATCATTAACTGTTTTGACAGCATTATTATGGACTGCCTTCGATTGGCTTCAAAAGAGCATGTCAGAAACCAGTGGGTGATGTCACTGACACCACGTCCATGTTTTATACCGTCTGAGGTCAACAAATAGTCAGATGAATGAATTAACAACTGTGTGTAAAGAATAAACAATATCGGAGATGGTTTTGTCGACTTGAAGTATTTTATTTTTTTGACAACATTGCCAAGTCACAAGAGTTAAATAAAAAAATATTTTTTACATTCTTTTTTGTTGTTGAACTTTTGGTCATAATAAAAACATACTATAAACAGGTGAATATGAAAAGCAAAAATATTTACTGAAGGTATAGACACCATCATCTTCACCATCTTCATCTCCAGTGTAGGACTATGAGATGGACAGCAAGCTGAGGATGAGGGAGGGTTTGGGGGGGGTAAAGGGGCAGCAGGGTGACGGCAGTGGAGTCTACGAGGACGATGGTGGAGGTGTTGTTGATTCCGACTTCCCACTTTCACTGTTCTCACTAAGTTGTCTCTTTAAAACCATTTCCCTGGCGAAGCAGGTCACCTGACCGTTGGCCACTGTGTAGGTGCTGTTCCTGCCATACAAAAAAGAACGTTAGTTAAACCAAAGATTGATTCAATTATTTGAAATGCCACAGTCAAATATTAAGACCCTCACTTTTGATTTTCAGATCCATTCTGCATGCCGGGCTGGCCCGGTTTTGCAAAGAAAAAAGAACTCCACCAGTTTCCAGAATCTTGTCTGGGAAGTCCTGGAATGAACAAAATGTATTTTAGAAGGGAGCTCAACTTTGGAAATGGGAGGATTTTCAAAATAAAACCTTGACTTTTTTTTTTTTTTTTTTTACCTGGGTGGTGTGGAATGATCTCTCCTGTGTACTCTGCACTGCCGCAGGAGCTGTTGCTGGAGGCGGACCCAAGACGCCCTGGAAAAAATAAAACAACTTTCTTTTAGTGAACACTCAAGATTATCTTATAAAAATACAAAACAGGGTTGAAAATAATAAACCCATGTACATCATTGACTGACTCACTTCTATAGTAATCATGGGTGGCAATGAGGGAGCCACTTGATGGAATTGCTGCCATTTTCTCCGACCTTAGAAGGAAAACCGCTCAAAGATGGAAAAACAAAACCTGAGAAAGAGACAGAAGGAAGGTACAATTAGTCTGGAAATATAATAATACAATTGCGGCCTTGTGTTTTTACCATCATTGGGCTGCAATGCTTCAGCCAGTGTAAGTACAAAGCTACTTATGTAGACGCACATCTGTAAACATGTCACTCATGGCTGAGTTCAGGGAAGCTTTTGCTGTGTGCCTCCCTGCCCTCTGTGTCTCTCCATTCCTGCAGGCTCTAACTGCAGAATGATAAATCAAGAGGCAGCTGCTTCCAAGAATCTGGTTTCCCGTGACTCAAATAGCAAGAGAGAGCATGTTGAAGCATGTCCACTCCACATGTCAAGGTAAACTTATATATCTTAGTGCATGAGCTGGCTGCGTGACTGAGCACTTTGCCAGTGTTTCACAATAAAGAACATACTACAACTTTAATTTAAAGAATCTCTTACCAAAGTTTTTATTGGCAAAAAAAAAACCAATGTAAAATATGAAGAATAAATCTTTATCAGTTTTTCATGCATCTGAGACTCTTAAAAGTAGAACATCGGTCTGCAGCTTGAGAACCAGTTGAAGGCTGTAGAGCTTAACACCAGGTGAGCAGCAGATGGCTTTAGGGATTTCAAGGAGCAGACAAATAAGCGTCTAGATGAACAAAGTGCAGTCGCAAAAACACACCTCTTATAGAATGGTTCGAGGTCAACTTCACCTAGAAATTAGGTAGGCTATGCGAACTGTATGCTTCTATACTGAAGTGCATAAGAAACTGCAGAGATAAGTAGTGAGAACAAGTAAAACAAATTTGTTTTTCTTAGCCTATAGACAAAATACAGATGTGGATATCAGTTGACTTGTTGCATAAAATACCTTTGTATTTGAACTAATTGCCAAGTCAGTTATAGTACAAAATCTGTCTTCAAGTGAATGATATTTGGTAGGTCAAATTTACCCAATAAAACATTTAAATATTTCTTAAATTAAAGTATAAATTGAAGAAGTTAGACCTACCGTGAAGTTTAGGATGTTAACACCGGTTGGCTGGAAGTAGAAGAGGTGCTGATTGTTACAAGTGTCCCATTTGTGGAAGATCTCTGTGTGCTGACCCTCTCGGTCAATGTTCTGCTGCTGGTACTGAGTCAGAAGAGCTGCCGGGCTTATATAGTCTGTCCTCGGCGCGTGCTGCTGGGACAGGGGGCGGGGCCTGTTGCAGCTCGGGTTACAGAACGTGCTGTTGTTCAGTTCTTGGTGTGTTAGGTAGACTGTGTGTGTCAGGGCCTTCAGGTGGTTATATCAGGAACTCGTGGACACCTGACAACAGGAGGTTGCTGAGAGGCTTTAGGTAACCCGGTGATGTCAGAGGCTGATAGGCTGCTAGCGTTAACATGAACACACACTTTAACACTTTAACATAGGATGTTTGTGTGTCTGCACGACAAGATCAATGAAAAGCAATGAGGATGTGCATGTACACATAGGACACCTAGTATTAGCAGACTACTGTTTTCGGTTATGCAGCTTATTTAAAATTCTCCCATGAAAAAAAGTTAACCTACTTAATCAAATAAACTTGCTGAATTTGAGACACTCATACGTGCTTTATTGAAAAATAAAAGACACAGAAGTCGAGGCATGGATCCCTGGTGGTCTAGTGGTTAGGATTCGGCGCTCTCACCGCCGCGGCCCGGGTTCGATTCCCGGTCAGGGAACTACGTTTTTCCTCTCCTATTACATCACCTCTCTAAATGGGAATCCAGGCGAAAATGCAGAACGTGTAAAACACATTGTAAAACTCAATTTAAATAATGTGGATTGCAAGTGGTCTGCTCCAAACAAAGTCACATTTATATGTAACACATTAAATATATCTGCCTCAATATGTGCATGCATGTACTGTTTTTTTTTTTGTACTTTCTTTTAAAATGTTACTTACGATTACCTTTACAGAGCTACTTCACTATTACCCTTTTTAATTTTATATTCTACTTTATTATTCTAGATTCATTTAGTGTTTTCCTTTTTAAACCATACTATGTTGAGAAGGCTAAAACTGCATTTATCCTACAATACAATGTTGCAATCACATTTGACCTTAATACAGTTTTGATTACATTATTGTTTCTCTTGAGGCCGTGTCTTTTCTGGGGTACGGATTCCGCTTTTGATTTCACTTAAACGGATTTGCTGCTGTATTAGGGACACCTGCATCTAGTTTCCACAATACAACACAAGCCTGTTAAAACTTTTGAAGCCTGTTGCGCCACCCAAAGGCTTGACATAAAATAAGGCAACAACTGACTAACACAAGTTAATCTAATTAAGTGACCATTAATGACAATAAAAATACCATTCAATTGACTTTAATTGAAAAATGTCACAGTACAAAAATACTTAATTTAATGATCTTTTCTACTGTTTATGTCAGAATTAATATTAATGAACGAATACTGTAAGTAATTCAGCTTATTTGAGTAGTTAGGTTCAGGTATGTCAAAATAAATATGTTTTAAGTTACATTTATCCAACAATGTATTCACATATTAAAAGACTATTTTTACATTGAAGTCAACAAAGGTTAGCCAGAGTAACTGCATACTTTCTACGAGTTGTCTTGTATTGACGCAAAGGTCAGAAATATCAACGGACAGTTCCAAAGGACATGGTAGCATATGTTATTCATCCATTGCAACTTGCTCCGAGGGTCCATCTCATGTGCTGTGGCGTGAGAATCTTCTTTCAAACCCAGCAGTGTCTCCATTAGTTGTCGAATTGCCCGTCACCTTGTCCTGTTTCGATTCACATATGAAACAGGTCATCAATTCTCACAAACAGAGACAGAACACCACATGCTGGATTTGTCCGCAGACTCACCTTCACATTGCCAACCATTTCCTCGAATGACTTGAATGTGTTGGAGTGTCTACAGAAAGATGAGCAGAGAGTTACACATTTTATTTCATTTCATTTTACCTTTATTTATTCTCGAGAAATTATTTACAGGGATGTCGAGAGTACAACTAAAACCAATAGATGACAAAAACAGGAAGACAAAATACATAGATTATAAAACCAGAAGAATAAGCCAGCATAGCAGGCAACTACAGTTAGACACATTTACACTACACTCACAGTGATTTGTGGTCAGGTTTTTAAATTGACCCATAGTAACCATTGCATTGAGCCTTAATGTGTTTTGTAATGTGTTCCAGGTTTATGCAGCACAAAAGGTAAAGGCTGTTTTCCCAATGTTAGTGTCTACTCGTGGGACCCTCATTAGCCAGTCACTTGATCTAGTCTGATACTGATTATCAGCCAAGATTAATACAGCATGTTTTTATACAACACACAAATACAACGGTAAGAAGTACAGGAACACAAGATTTACCTCATAGCTGGCACACTGATGGTGTGGCTCAGGGTGCTGCGTAAGACACAGAAAGAAGGGATATGAGCATTGAAAGAAACAGGTAGGGTTTGGAAACAAAAACGTTATTCTGATCAGTAAAGCTCGATAAAAAGTATTTGATTTATTTTAAATATTCTGACATCTTTTTTTAAAGCGCTGCTTTAATCACAACTTTCCATTTTGACTAGTGTGTCACTTTTGTTGTTGATGAGATTTTTGTATTTAAGTGTTAAAATAATCAAAGTCAGCTTTACTGAACAAGTTTGTAAAATATTTTCTTTTGCACTCAGTACAGAGGCATACTGGATAAGCAAAACAGACTCAAAAGGGAATAAACAACAAATCTTAAGAGTTACAACAATTATGTGCAGTCTTGGTTAAGGTAAACTAAATATTTAAAATCATTTAATCAAGTGATCAGCAAATATTTCTCATATTTTCTTTATTAATCAACTGTTAAAGTTGTTGGCAAAAATTTGTAATTCAATATTTAAGTTGGGTCATTCAGAAAATATTTTTGTATGACCCAACTTAAATACACACACACACACACACACACACACACACACACACACACACACACACACACAGGGGCTTATTCAGCACCCTCTTCTGTTCATTCAGTGTCCCTGCTCAAAGATCTTACCGTGGTGGGCTCGGGAGAGGCAGAGCTCTGTTGAGATAAAGAAAGACACATAGATGACGTCACACAGTCGTGTTTACAAACGGTGGAGAACAACAGACTTATCAGATACTGCCGCCGACTTCCAGCTGTAATAGTGTGATAGGATTATGTTTGCTTACTGCCTAAACAAATACGTAACACAGGACGCCTTCGAACTTGAAGCAGTTCTCTGACAACATTTTATTTCTATAGAAGAATGAATTGTAAAAAGGTTGTTTTGACCTCTTTCACAGAGAATCCACAGTGGAAAGTAAATAAGTTTGGTGCCAGAATACTGACTATTTATTTTACCTTAAAATTAAGTTTTGCCTCAACAAAAAACTTGGGGGAAGAATGAACATTTTGAATAAAAAAATTAAATAAAAATAAAAATAAAATAAAAAATTGGAACAAAAGTTCAACAGAAAATAAATAAAAAAGTTGTTAATTGGTTTTGATATGATTTGTTTGGCTATTGTTGCGTTTAAATGTTTATTTTCAATAATTTTTCTTCCCTGTTCGAGTTACAGTGATTTATTTTTTGCTTTCATTTTTTGTTATGACAAATTAATTAACATTTCTTTGCCAAACCGTTTTGTGTACCTCATTTCTGCAAGTCGCCTTGTGATGACCATGCCCATGTTGGACAGTGCAGAAGATGTCACATGGCCTGCATGTGAGAGACCGTCCCATGTCCTCACATATCTGCAGGTTAAAAAAAAAACATTACAAGGCAGAAACTGAGAGAAGGAAAGCAACAACACATTTACAGTTCACGCTCATAACTAGGATATATCATACAGAGAGCACAAAGTATGACATTTCTCACAATCACAACAGAAATGAAACCGTAAACCATGAGCCCATATACAGTATTGGTTATGGTCCATCTGTCTTTCAGAGCAGTGCTTCAGGCTGGCTCTGATGTTGCCTAGTAATACTACTGCTCCCCGTGCTAAGTCAGGTTGTAAGGCTATTAACAGGGCATAGATCCTATTTGACCTGCAAAATCCCATCACTTGTTTCTTTATAGATCCTTTTTTAACATGTGAGCAGACGACAAAAACTTGGGAAACATAAAGATCAGCACTCACGCGTTAGAGTGGCTGATGTCATCCAAAGTGGCCGAGGCTGTCAGGTATCTGAAACAACGGCAGAACATAAACAACTTGGCAGATTATTACCCAGACTTAAAACAGACCACAACAGCCATTAGTAATTAGTGTGCTTTCCATGGTTATGTAACCGTGTCACACTAAGACAATGCGTGGCGAATGTCCTGCCAGCAGGGTTTCTTAAATCAGATAAGACAGTGGGAGAGCATAGTGGAGTTTTAACCACACGACTAGGCCTTAGTTGCCACTTTATTTAGCAATAATAAAATATCACAGTGAAAGCTACCAGTCTAGAAATTCAACTTACGGGGCTGAGGTCTGGACGTCTTGCCAGCCTTTGGACAAGTTCTGTTTGATGTTACTGAGGGGACCCATGCCCAGCTGCCTCCTAATGTCTGCTGCATATTTTTCTTTGGCAAAAAGTACCTGCCGCAAGGTCTGAATTTCCTCCTCCATCTGAAGGGACAAAAAAACAAAAGATTAATTCGATATAAATGACGCAGTGACCAGATGCTGTGCAACACCTTGGTTGTTTTTTTTAATTATTATTATTTTTGGAACACATTTTGATTTAAATATATTTTTAAAAAACAATTACATCACCTTTGTAAGTTCAATCTGTAGATTGTCTATGTCCTCCTCGGTGAGATCTGAGGGCGATAATCCATTTTCTGTTATCCTTGTGGGGAAGTTCATGGATGAAGAAGTCGCACCATAACCTAACAGCGATGAATGGGCAAATAAAAACTTGACACAGATACTGATAGTTACATATTTTATAAGTGAATATGCATAAGAAGGTATTAATAAAACATAATATACTATCGGATAACAGTTTTTCAATATAATTTTTACATTTTAGATTAGTTTAGGACTCAAGTATTCCCACAATAACTCTTATCGGGAAATACATAGAAAAGTAAAATATGCAACTTTTATAAAGGCTTATGGTTTTCTCATGAGTTCAAAGTTCCTGTAGTTACATTTTTAAATCTACTACAAAGAGTCGGAGCTGTCCTCGGTGCTGAACTGTAGGAGGCTAACCACAGCTAGCTGACGTTAGCTCTACCTGTTGCTTGTGAGGCCACCATTAGCCATCTCAGACAGCAGCACAAACACAAAACACACACTTTACCTGCCGACTGAAAATGCACGTGTAAAAAAAACGGGGTGTGACAACTTTAACAATATTATGAGTTTTTTTTTTTTGGTTGTAAGGTCTTACCTGTTCGGTTCATCGCTGACATTTTAAAGCCGGAGTGTTTATACCTGCTAACCAGTTTAGCAGCCTCTCGTCCCCATCAGCTGCTCAACCATTATATACAGACTGAGAGCTCAACAACGAGGAGGAGGAAGGATCTAATAGGATCAATGAGGTCGTTTACACACACACACACACACACACACACACACACCAACTATATAAAGTAAAGTACAAAGCTGTTATCATAAGTGTATAAATAACAAATATATTAAAATAACTTAATTGTGGAGAAGGGTGGGTTATGGGAGGATTTGTTTCAGGTTGTTTTTTTGTTTGTTTTTTTTTTCTCTACATTTTTTGTTTTATGATTATTACTTAAAACAATAATAGCAATCGTTACAATTAGATATATTACAAGTGAATAGACACTGGATTTGTGTGTTATTTCTCTTGTTTCTTTCTCAATCATTACTTTGCATACGTACTATTATTGTAATTATTGTTACTACAATTATTGATGCTGTTGTTAACAGTATTATTATTAATATAGTTGTAATATACTTATATTATAACTTTATAGAATTGCATAATTGATATAGGAGTATATTAGAAGTACACTTGCTAAATTTATTTAAGTATATACATCTAGATTTTCTGTGGTTATTCGTGTATTATTATTATTTATTTATGTGTTTTGTGTCTGTTTGAAACACACCACAAAAAGGTTCATATTGACAGTGGATTTGCTTGTAAAGTTTATGTTTTCCTAATAAACAAATCTTTAAAAAAAAAAAAATAACGTAATTGTATTATCTATTGTATTAAGTAAAGGTAATCATAAGTATGGTGGCTGGGAAGTGAAAACCAAAATAAAATATTGTAGTATTAACTGTAGTCACCTTTCACATGTTGAGAGGAGTACAATTAGAAGAAAATAAAAGTGGATGTTTTTCATGTGAACATATTCTCATCAATCCCTCCTATGATAAGTTTGTAAAATTGTCTCCATCTGCAGGTGAAGTGAGGCATAACAATTCATGGTGTCACACTCATCAGTAAAGAAAGGGGTACACAGACTTTAATCACGTGTGTGTTGAGATGTCATGTCTGCTTGATTCCCTGAGCTCAATTAGGAGCAACAAGAAACACCTGTGCTGGCTGCAGCAAGCAGCCACAGGTGAATGAGATCCCCACATCAGGTCTCCCATAAAGGGAAGGGGAGTTCGTTTGCTCAGACTTGTTCCACCTTTCTTTGTCGAGTGTGTCCACGTGAGTTTTTTTGCGTAAGTTAGTTTAGTGATTATGTTTGTTTGTGATGCATATAGGCAGACTTGATTTATTGTTTCATTTATACATCCTCTGTTTACTGAGCCTGTTCAGAATTATTGAACATTATTATGTTAATGAGGCGAATCAATAATTGTTATATTTTGTCTCCGAAACAGGAAAAACACTTGACAAATTAAGGAAAACAACCTGTGCTAATAAAAACCTTAAAGTGGAATAATTTCGCTGCCTTCATTCCCATGCCTCAACTCAACTTTGGATGTCAATGAACTTCAGCCCTCAACATTTAAGTTCCACCTAAAACAGTGTGTATAAACAGTAGTGTAATGAATTGATTGATTGACAGTACAAAGTAGTATGCTGCAATTTTTTTTTTTTACAAGGGTGGGGTGAAAGGATGACCCTAGAAACTGGGGAGAGGGAGAGACTGTGGAATGACATGTGCGAAAGAAGACACAGGTTGGATTCAAACCCGGACTGCCCGCTTCAAAATACGGCCTCCCTTCATGGCTGTGTGAACTTACCTCTTGGCCACTGGTGCCCAAACAGAGGCCTTTCATCCTCTTCTAGACCGGCCTTCATAAAAAAACATTTGGGGGGGGGGAGGAATGAAGAGTATACCCACTTCCTTAGGCACCACTACACTCACTGCTGAGTATACACATTAGCCAGAGTCATTAATACACTGAGACAAACAGCAGCATATCATGCATATTTAGGATGAGGATTTCTCCATAAAATAATTGCATGTTAACATGCATAGTAATTGTATATCGGCTCTTCTCATTATAAAGCACTAATTTCCAGCTTTCAAAAGTGACATGAATTACCACATCCTACAAAAAAGTGGTCATTCACACGTACTTTTGCTCCAGTTAAATCTGAATTACTGCTTAAATAGAGAAGAAAGAAAGTAATTTTACATGAACTGCTCTCTGAATATGCTGTGCCAAGTGTTGGCCTTGGTGGTCGTATACCACAATACTCGGTGTACAAAGAGGAAGTCTCTTTTGTGCTTTTTGAACAACCCTTGCAGTCTGAGCTAAGAACACCAAATTACAGAATTTGAGAGCATGTATATGAGTAAATATTGGTTTACATTAGTGTAGCTCTGGTTTTGAATTCAATTGAGACGGAGCGATGTTAAACCTCGGTCTTAAACCTAAAACGAAAAATATATTGCATGTTATTTCAGGTAGCAGTAATTACAACAGTACATCACATTAAAATGATGCTAACTTTAATTGTTATTCTTAACAATTAAATATTTTTAGTCTGCTAGATATAGTTTGCTTGAGACTTCAGTTATTGATAGATACATCATGAATTTTACAATGGCAACAAGCTAAGCTTTAATCCATGCTTACAGCCACCAATGTGCATGTCTTGTGGTTTAATCTGTATGCGTTTCGGTGTTATACATAGGATCTGTCGTTGTAGCCTTCATAAATCCACCCAGATCTGTTTCTTCTCCAAACAATCCAAACAACAACTAACACTGTGCTGGTATTATCCCTGAGTAAGAATAAGATGAGGACACAATGTTCAGGAACATTTATTCAACAACAGCAAATCAGATCAATGATCCACTTGTTTTCCTCCAGACACACAATTACCATGCTACAACAGAAACGTTAAGGTTTATACTTTTTATGGGCCAAGTGTATGTACAAGCAACCTGAACCATTAAACCATTCCCCGCCAAATGTAATGGTTACATTACAACACCATACCAGTTAAATTATAGCCGATCATCATTTGACACATGACGAAGTATGAAATAAATAAAAGTCCAAAAATGCATCATATAACCATTTCACTATAATTACACTATACAATATGTTGTATTTTTATGGAGTCATTTCCTGATCATTGATCTATCATAGTTTTTTTAAACACACAGTGCATTCAACTTAGAACATTTACAGTAGCATTTTTCAGAATCTTAATGAAAAAGCCATGACGGGAACATCTATGTTTAATCAAGGGTTACAGGAAACATCATACAAGGGCCACAGAGGTCAACATCCATACTGTTAATAGCAGAGGGTGGGCAACAGGAGCTCACCAATTGTAAACCATTAAAACACATTATTAGCAGTTATGAAAACTGACAAAGTGGCGGAGATGTTTATGGCAAATTTGCAAATGTGTGTCAATATATGCAAGTTCAGAAATATGAAAAACCTAGAGTCATTTTAACTTGGAGCTGCCTGTAGCACTGACTCACATATGATATGCCGTATGAGCTTCTTACTCAACAAGGATTCAAAAAAGTCAACAATGATAAACGATCACAGCATCAGACAAAATGTCAGATTCATCAGACTTCAGTTCAAAACACAAGGACTAAAAACGCAATGAAAACTCAGATTTCTCACTATCTAACATACTCCCATGTCAGCTTTATTTTCCAGCCATGAAGAGTGTCACATGTTTTCCCACAGCACATTTACCACTAAACATATTCAAGACAGCTTGGAGTTCAAAACCGGAAAACTTCTGACCTAGGGCTGCTGCTGCTAGAGATCATTATATCTACATGTTAACAACAGCTGGAAAACCCGGAGCTCCTTGGCATCATCATAAATCATCAAGTAAACAAGAATTTCCTCAATACGATTTAATAAATATCCTTCAATCTCAATAAGTTTTGACATCTCTTAAATAACTTATGGGTGGAGCAGACAGCAGCCCTTTATCATAATACTCCAATTAAGCATAATTCTCTATGAAAGAGTCGACAAAAAATAAAAACAATGCAATTCCAATTCTTGTTAGGGTTGACTGGAAACATTAGCTCATCCACCTGGGCTGAAACCTGCCATAATACAAAGAAATTATGAGACGGCATTAAAGTTACCTTGAAAAGAATTGCTATCACATCCTGTTCAGTGCTGAAGAACCAACAGGAGAAACGCCTCTGACCTGCAAGAATGGACTAAAACAGAGCTGAGGCAGGTGCAAGAAAGCCAATAGCAATTCAAATATCTAAAGCAGAAATATTACGTCAGCAGCCGAGTATGAAAAGACTGACTGCAAATAAAGCTCTGCGTCTTCAATGACGATCTCATGATTCCCAATGAAAACACGACGGGGGCTCACACTAAAGACACTTATACAGTGCCAAAGACAGACCATAGGTTTCGACAACTGCAGGTGGTGTTTTAACGAAAACGGTACACATGAAGTAAAATTTGCACAAATATATAACAACTCTATTTTTGAATTTTAATGATGGCACAGACCACCTAAGCAAACATGTCATCTCTAACCTGCACCTCCCTGAGCCATGGCTCTCCTTAGCTTTAGCATATAATATAATCAACCCCTCCTCCTCCTCCTCCTGCTCCGAGTGAGCAGCACTCATTTGAACATATTGCACGTACTTATGAACCTATATCATTAGTCTTGCAAAGCAAAAATGTTGCTAAAGATGAAAGAAAGTCTGGAGACCATGTTTGATAAACAGTGCATGCTACACCATGATGCAAAATGTGGGAGAGGGGAAGTGGGGGTAGGCGACCTGTGTGGTTAAAGGCCAAGAAATACAAAAGAAGAAACAAAAAGGAAACAATTTAGCTTGTTTCTCTTTTCTTCTACTACTGGGAGGGAGGGGGGATAAGTTGCGGACCAATCAGGGAGGGGTGTAAGGGGTGTGACTTCATTAGTTCCTTTCATGGGCCATGCTTACTAGTCCCTCTCATCTGCATGGCTTTCTTTCTGAATTCAAAAGATGGATGCCCCTCTTTTTTTCTTCTCACTGAGGTGGAGCAGGGAAGCAGGCAGGACCGCAGGCCAGGATTGTCTCGGGTGGGGGGCGGAGGGTTAGTTGAAGCCGGTGTCGGTGTGATAGGAGTGGTACCCATCCGATGTTAACTGGGTCGTCTCTGTAGCTGATGGTTGCATCATTATAGGATCACCCCCTGCCTCTACTAAAAAGACACAAACAAATACCCTCAGTTGATTCCATTTGCCCCCCCCCCTTCATTTTAGAAACAAGACTGGTAAAACAGGGGATTCACTCTCACCTCTCTCATCAGACTGCAGTTGAGCCTCAAGGTCCTCAGGGGACACATAAAACTCCTGGTCCTGGCCCTCCCGAGGCCGTGGTTTACATTTTCCACAGCAGCAGTTACAGCAGCAACACAGGCAGCAACAGAAGTAGCAGCCAGTGGCCAGGCCGCAGAATACAAACAGAGCCTGTAGGCAAGAAGATTCATTGGATTGAGTGTCAATGTGTGAGCAAAACAAAAAAGGGCACGTATCATCGGGAATAAAGAAATCAAAAGCAAATAGCAATTTACTCAGTTTTACCTTTGCCCACCAGCTAGAAAGGACAAAGTAAGTGTTGACATTCTCCTCTCCAAACTGCTCAGCCACATATAGTCCCAGAGAACCATATTTGTCATAAATGTTACGCTTTGTGGGGTCATTCAGAATTGCATGGGCGTTGTTTATCTCCTTGAACTTATCAGCAGCCTCTGGATTGTCAGGATTCTTGTCAGGGTGGAACTTCAGCGCCAGTTTCCTGATGTAGAAAGATGGCAAAAGAAAAATGTAAGAAACAAAATGTTTCTAGCACAGTTTTCAACAGGAATTGCATGAGGTAGGTAGCAGTGAGTCTCACCTGTAAGATCTCTTAATATCATCCCCTGTGGCCACCTTCTCCACTCCCAACACATGGTAGAGAGACTCACCGGCGGTGGACAGAGAGCGCTGCCTCTGGTGCTCAGCCATGATGCCTCACGTCCCCTAGCTAGGGACAGAAAGAGACAAATAAATGCACTACCTGGTGTGGATTAAACGCTTTATAAGCAAACCTGTTAGACCAGATACATGGTAGCAGGTTTTACACAATATTAATCTATTAAAAAAACAATCAGACCCAAAGTGAAGTCTGAGGGACTGAATCCTCCTAACTGTCTACGATAAATACACGAGCTGTGTATATAAACCATCATCTCTCTTTGAACTCAAGGGAAAATAAGTCCGGGAGCCAATTGGAGAAACATGTAGAATTCCTTACATTATACCGCAGTCATTTAATTTCTGTAGTTTTTCAATGAAATTGGACAAATGCTGTCAATAACAACAATTAAACTGGGATTTAAACATCTTGGCAGGACCACTGCCCCCCTCTGCTGCTGTGAGTAAATCATTAAGTGACACCCATTCATGCTGCAAGAGAAAAAAAAAAGATTTAGCCAATCAAATTGATACTGCTAGGTAAAGAAGAAAAGAAAAGAAAAAGATGAAGCCATTCCTGACAATATTGCTGCCTCCAAATGGGTGTCATCTTGACACAAATGAATGGCCACTGGTGTATTTGAAGTCCTGTACACCCTACACCCTATTTTAACATTTTTTTTTTACCAACAACGGTCTGATCTGTCCAGGGTGTGTCAAATCCCCTTTTGTTTCGAAACGAATCTCTTTGTAAATTGTCTATAAGAAGGATTAAACCCTGAGAATACGATGCTAGGAGCATAATCTCTGAGCAAGCATCATCAGCAGCACTGCTATAGCGCACAGCATCCATGTTGATTTGCTTCCTGGCCTGGTCTTGATGCAAGATAGGGATGGATCGTCAGCATTAATTTTCAAGGGCAAGGGGCAGCGTTTTGAGAGGAAATAAAAAATGAAATGCATCTTTTAAGCTCACCTTTCAGTCGACTCTGATGCACTGCGAAACTAACGATCCCCGCAGGTTGTAATTTTAGACAGTGTGGCGTGACTATGGCTGCATCTCGCACGTACCCGGACCCTCTCTGGCTCCAACTACGCACCATGGACAGCTGCAGCAGTACGCTGGCTCCGCCCCCCAAACACCCCATGACGACCCTACGTGCGCGTTCACAAAAAGCACTGGGATGATTGGGAGAAAAGGGAATGCAGGATGCAAAAGACGGACAGCTACACACCACTGTCGAGCACTGCAAACAGTCAGAGGAAAGACAAAAATGAGCTATCGTCATCACAATTCAATGAACTGTACTGTCATATAAAACACGACAGGGGACCACTTGGCATTTTTTTAAAGGAGACATTTTTTTCGGAATCATACAGGCCTATTATTGGCCTACCTCGTATTTGTAAGTGAATAAATATTAAAGGAGAAGCTCAACCCAGATTTATACATGACAAACAGCTGGATAACTTCAAAAATTGCAACAACAAACCTCATAAAAAAAAACAGCTCAGCCAAAAAACTATACTAACAAAATGTCCCATATGCTACCAGGTGTTTATTAAGAAAAGTCATATAGCCTAATATATAATAATATAGGGCCTAATAACTTTCAAACTTGTGTGGAATCGAACAATTTCGTAAACTTTTGTATTGAATGCACAGACTGTAAATAGCAGCAGATGAGGCCTGAGTGACGTCACCCGTTGGTTTCTCAAGGGCTGTTTAAACCGATCCATGAAATGCTGACTCCATCTAACTTTCGGTCAAAATAACGACAGGCAAGAGCTGGAGCTGAGGCGGGCCTTAAGCCTCCTCACAAACTGCTACAGAGCGGCCGCTTGCAGTCATATCCCCTTCTCCCCCTAGTTATACCTATAAGTTATCCTTCATTCAATCTAACCCCCCTTCATTCAGCCTACAGTGTGTGCCTTGAAAGACATTTAGCCTACCACTAAACCAAATTTGTGGGTGTTTTGACCAGGCTGTAAACATGTTCATTTCTGCTGTCAAAACAGACATTTTAATTTGAGGTGTCTATGGGACTTCTGAGTCTTTTGGAGCAATCCTCAAGCGGACATTTGAGGAACTGCAGTTTTTTTGCACTTCCCCTTCGCTTCATTTGTCAACACCGGATGTCGCCGCCTGGTTGAATGAATGGAACGGTTCCCTGGCCCTGAACAGTTGCTAGGCAACCAAAGGAGACCCCAGGAAGTGTCAAATCCTAGCTAATCACAATGCGGAATTTAAGGTTTAGATTTAATTACTACTCATAATGACCAAATAAGACAAATGTTTTAATTGCCAAGGTTTGTGAATTTTGTCAGCATTTGAAAAAGACATGCTATTTTCAGTTCTTTTTTTTTATAATTCTTTTTTTTAATTACAAGGACCAACAAATTAACACAATACACAACAAACCACAACAACAAACACATACAGACACATTACAACAAAACAAAAAAACGAACAAAGATTAACAACAGCGGTTTTCACAACCAGTAGAGCTAAATAAAATCATTCATATTCTATTCAATTGTATTGATGTTCCTATACACATTACACTGAACCATTCCTCTTTCAGAAATATTGCCATTGGGGACCATTCCCTTACAAAAACCTCAAGAGTACCTCTGAGTACATGAGATAATCTCTCCAAAGGCAACATGTACATCAGTTTTTCATACCACATATATCAGGAGGATCTTCATCGAACCATCCCTGTAGCACTGTGAGGCGTGCAGCATACAAAGTAACTCTAAGAATGTATTGGTGCCTACAGTCACAGAAGTCCAGCCAAGAACAAAATGATGAGGATTTAAAGGAATACAATGCCCAAATATTTTCTTTATCTCATTTTGGACCGAGAGCCAGAATTCTGTGATTTTAGGACATGACCACATTCGATGACCATAAGTGTCCCAACTACTTTTGCATTTCCGACATAATGATGAGCACGTAGGGTCATATTTACATCTGATAGACGGGGTCACGTGCAGTCTGTGGATGATCTTACATTGAGTCTCATATTGAGTCTCATAGGATTTGTTCAAACATGTAATCTTTTTTTAATTAATAAATCTCTCTCCACATCTCATCATCGAGATGGTACCCAAAATCTTCAACCCAGGAAGCTCTGCTACTGATAGTAGGGATGTTGATAAACATTTGATCATATAAAAAAACTTAAAGACGACGCTTTTAATAATATATTTTCCAGCTGGGTCATATACAATACAATACTGTATGCTGGAATGGATTTGATATAACTCCTAAATTGTAGATAATGAAAAAACTGTGTTTGAGAAAATGAGTTGTGAGAAAGATTTTAGAGTCCCATCTAGACATCTCGTATTTGTGAAATACCAGCATTCTTCCATGTTGTAAAACCCCCATCTGAGCAAGACTGTACAAAATCAGGATTACATGAAATACGAGCCAAAATAGAGTATTGAGTCACAATCCCAAAATGCAAACGCACACGATTCTACATTTTCAAGGTGTTTCTGACAATAAAATTATCTTTCAGTCCTCGTAAACTTATTGCATTGTTTATGAATGGCATATTGCAAAGGGCGGCTTCACATCCAGTATTTTCTAAATCCAGAAATGTAGAATTGGCGTCATTTTTTATCCATTCAGTAATGTATGTCATTTGTGAAGCCCAGTGGTAGTACATCACATTTGACAGAGGTAACCCCCCTTTGTCCACTAAGTTTCTCCAATTTAAGTCTTGGACGTTTATCTTTCCACAAAAATTTAGTTATCATACTATGTAATGATTTAAAAAATTAAACTGGAATATAGTTGGTAACATCTGCATTGGATATAACAGGGGAGGACATTCATCTTTACAATAGCAACACGGCCAAGTAATGATGTGGACAAAGGGCTCCATCTTAGAAGATCTTTTCTAATTTCACTTACCACTGGGTCTAAATTCATTTTTAGACACTTGAATCCCTAAATATCTAAACCCATTAGGGGACAACTGAAAAGGTATGTACTCTGCTAAATCAGAACAGTTTCCTAACAGAAAGGCTACTGATTTTTCATAATTTACTTTATATCCAGAGAACACCCCAAACTCATTTATTATCTGAATAACAGCTGGGACTGAGGACATGGGACTAGTCAAAAATAAAAGAACATCACCCGCATACAACAAAATCGTATGTACTTGTTTCTTGGTTTGGATACCGGTAACAGAGGTGCTGGATCTAATCATCTCAGCTAATGGTTACATTGCTAATGCAAAAAGTAAAGGAGATAAGGGGAATCCTTGTTTTGTGACTTTACTTACTGAAAAAGGAGAAGACATTTCCCCCATAATGGAGACTAATGCTTGTGGTGCAGAATATAACAATTTGACCCATTATATAAATCCATCTCCAAAAGCATACTCCTTTAAGGTTCTGAATAAATATTCCCACTCTATATTATCAAATGCTTTTTCTGTTTTCAGTTCTGATGTTAAGATACCCATAGGTCTATAGCTAAAGTGTAATATCAAAACAGAGTGCGTTTTCTCACCTTAATCTACTAAAGTGTGAATAAAAGTAGCCCCAAAAGGCTAAGGATCTAAGTAAGAAAACCAGAACATTCGCCAAATATTAAAGAATTTTACTTACATTTGTCATTTTTGTGTATAGGCTGACTCTGAGTATAGCCTAATAATTTAATTGATAAATGATTAACCCTTTTTTGTCCCAAATTGTCTTAATGTTTTAATGCAGATATGTAAATTGAGTCTCACATGAACATGTTCGGCCTTTATTTCCTCCAATTTGTGCTCTCTTTTCTAGAAAATCGTATTTGAATGAGTGGCATAGGCCTATCTCTGTTCATTTTCTAAAGCGATCAGACTGCATCAAAACTGGGCTATGAATGGGACATCTGTTTTCATACTAATTGTATTTTTGAAACCAGAATGAAATACCTGAAAAGGGCATCAGGCAACAGTTATCTTGTAGACTCTTTGACAGCATTTCTTCCAAAATAAAGTTATAGGTCTATGTGTTCTATAGGCCGATTCATACAATCATGGGGCAATATTTCTATAAATAGGATCATACCATGCATAAATATTAAAAACAGTTGACCTTCTAGTCAGTTAGTTTTTGCTTTGTTTTTTGTTGTTTCCTGTCAAAGTGTCTTTGAGTATTTAGAAAAGCGCTATATAAATCTAAATTATTATTATTATTATTATTATTATTATTATTATTATTAATATTTTATTTTACCTTTATTTTACCAGGCAGAAATGCTTGAGATCAAATGACCTCTTTTTCGTGCAAGGCCTGGCAAAAATGGCAGCAGCAAAAAAGAAATGTAAGACAAACCCAAAAAGAAAGAAAGCACAGACGTGAGAAAAAGAGACAAATACAGTCCAGAAGGTGAAGAAGAAGAAGAAGAAGGAGGAGGAGAAGAAGGACAAGATCATGTTAAACGAAAACAAAACACAACACCACAATACACACTAAAAGAACAATTATGTGATGATGATAAAATACTATGCAGCGAAACATTTACACACTCCAAAATTAGCCATTAAAAATTTTTAAAATCATTAATAGTGATGAGTTCCTGCAATTTAAGTGTTTTTTGAAGACTGTTCCATGCGGAGGGAGCAGAGTACATGAAGGCCCTCTTTATTTGACAGGGTGTCAAATAAAACAAGGTATTGTAGCCTATAGCATATGTGGTGCAACTTCTGCTTTAAAGCAGCAAACCATTAGATCATTCTTTAAAAAAATGAAATTTGGAGGTCCCTAGAATTTTGTTCTACTATTTTATAGGGTCAACATTGATAAGCATCACTGTTACTGTGCCTATGTCAGCTGGGCTCATTACCACCTGATGCCCTCTGCCTAGATTCTAAATGAGCCATAACAATAATACTAAAACAATGAAAACGTGCAGCAGGTGAAATGACAACAGGAAAAGGCAAAAAGAGAAGGAGGTGACTACAGCAAGCTTAGAGGAGTTATGCAAGATGTGCTACTCAGCAGGCAGTAATTTCGTGAGAACATTAGGTCACACAGCATTTCAGAGGACAAAGGCAAACTGAAAGGGACAAACAAGCCAATCCTTTTGGAAAGACAAGACAAGATGTTACT